TCCTTGGGGAAGCGCGCTTGACCCTGGTGCGGTTCATTCCTGCTGGTTGAAGCTCCAGAATCAAAAGACTGAAAAGATGGTGTTTCTTGATCTCTGCTGCCCCCCCATAGTGTGGATTTGGAGAAACTAGGTGGCTGGATAACACCGGAGTATCTCTGGCTGGTGGAATTCCATCCACGTCTGTTACTACCTGAAATAAACAATAAAATAACACAATTTTACTGGCAACTCCTCTTTAAACCTCTAATAATTTCATTATATTTTTGTCTTATTACATGCAGACATCATGCAAAGATTCAACATTTTCACTCACTTTAAGTCATAAAACTCTTCATTTTTTATTTATATATAATTAAGTGTAATATCAACAAATAACATAATTGTCTAATTGCATTTTAGTTTAACAAGATTGAGAGGATTGTAAATCCATAGAAAAATAATGATACCAGGGATGCCAAAAAAATGTATACAAGTGGACACTTGGATGAACGCTGTTCAAGCAGTAGTTCGCCATAATCAGAAGTGTCTGGGGCCGGCCGAGTGGTGCATTGGTTAAGAGTTGGCTTGGGACGCCAGCTCTGAGCAGCAGGGCCGCCAGTTTGGATCCCACATGAGGGCCAGTGACGCTGCGCCCTCTACAGCTAAGATGGTGAACAATAGCTCGACCTGGAGCTGGGCTGCTGTGAGTTGCCGGCGATGGCATAGGCTGTGGTGGGGCTGGCCAGCAGTGGGCATGAACTTTCATGAGCTGCCCTGAGCTGCTGTGAGCGGTCATCCAGTGGCCGGTGAGCGACTGCCTCACCCAGGAAGAGTGCAATGAAAATACCAACATGGGCCAGTNTGAACTGTTCTTTAAAGAAGCTTATATAATTATAAACTCTATTTCATAATTATAGATATATCAAAGAAGTTCAAACTTTTGATTTTCCAGTAAACTGAACCATTAACCAATACCTTTAATTGAGAACTATTTTATCACACATATTTTAAAGAACTGAAATATAATAAAATACACAATACTAACTTTAATATTTTTTTGTTCATTATCATAAACATGAATAATCATTTAACTGGGAAAGATAGAAAGTACCACATAATATAGAACCAAAACTTTTTTAAAGTGGGTAGAACTTTGGAGATCCTTTTTTCTAATTCTCATATTTTGCAAAAAGGGAAACAGACTTACATCCATACAGTTAATTTGTTGGCAAAGCTGTAGATAGATTAGGCTCTAAATTAGCCTCTCTGCCCCAGTCCAAATTGCTATAATTGATAGACACCACGGAGAATCTATATTAAACTTCGGATTTTTGCAATATCATCAAATATGGGGGGGGGGTTCATCTGTTTTTACTTTTTAAAAAAAAATAAGTTTTATATGGTATATGGCTCAAAATGTTTACCACTGTTTCTAATTTCATCATGGAAAGTAAAGGACTAACAAGTATATTTAAGTTCTGTCCAGGGAGCCGGGAGCTGAGGGAACAGTTACAGACAGGCAGGCACTGTTTTGGCATCAGCCATAAATTCTCCCACAAATGTTTTCCAGAAATTATAAGGAATCTACTTCACAATAATGAAGGAAATCCAATGAAACCAGTTTGAATGGGGTAACTGAAGCAGAAGCTTTAGGAAAAAAAAATATGCGATGCCATAGTGACCTCCAAGATCACAAATTGCTTTAAGTTACTCCATACTTTGTAAAAGTCTGATAATTTATAACAAACTTAAGCAGGACTATCTTAGAAAGATATTCAAAATACAGTGTTATTAGCAGAAAAGTGGAAAAAGCCTAATTAGCCATAAGAAGGCACTGTCCTGACATGGAAAGATGACACATTTTTAAGTGAAATGAAGTCTAGTATGATATATGGAAAAGTGATTATCTCTGAGTGATAGGATCATGGGAGCTTTTTCTTCTTGTTGCTTATTCTGATTTTTTAAATAATGTATTACTTCTTTAAAAATATATATTGTAGGGCTGTCCGAGTGGCACG